TGCTGTATGAAAAGTGAATTTACTCTGTAAATCTTCACCCAAATCAAAATAAAATTTAAAAAAAAATTATGCCATGTGAATACTGAAGAATTGTTGCTGTTATTAGGTGCCATCGAGTTGGCTCCAACTCATAGTGCCCTATGTACAACAGGTGACGAAACCATGTCCGGTCTTGTACCATCCTTATAATCGTTGCTATGCTTGAGCCCACTGTGTCAATCCATTTAATTGAGGATTTTCCCACTTTTCACTGACCCTCTACTTTACCAATCATGATATCCTTCTCCAGGGACTGATCCCTTCTGACAACATGACCAAAATATGTGAGGCAAAGACTGGACATTCTTTCTTCTAAGGAGCATTCCAGCTGTCCTTCTTCCAAAACAGATTTGTTTGTTATTCTGGCAGTCCATGGTACTTTCAGTATTCTTCACCAGCATCACAATTCAAATGCATCAATTCTTCTTCAGTCTTCCTTATTAATTGTCCAACTGCCCATGCTTATGGTGCTATTGAAAATACCATGGCTTGTACCTGATGGTGCACCTTAGTCTTCAAAGTGACATCTTTGCTCTTTAATACCTTAAAGAGCTCTTTTGCAGAAGATTTGCCCAGTGCAAACCTTGACTGCTGCTTCCACAAACATTGATTGTGGATACAAGTAAAATGAAATCCCTAGCAACTTCAATCTCTCTCCATCTATCATGATGTTGCTTACTGGTACATGTCTTAGTTATCTAGTGCTGCTATAATAGAAATACCACAAGTGGATGGCTTTAACTAATAGGAATTTATTCTCTTGGTTTAGAAAGGTAGAAGTCTGAGTTCAGAGTGCCAGCTCTAGGGACCAGGTGGAGGCCCCTCAAGCTTGGGCTTCAGTTCTGCCTCTTGTTCCAGGCACACTGGAGCAAGTCAAAGGGTTTTTATGACTCACACAGCTCCTGGCTATTGAAGCTAATGAACCCAAGATTGATTGGTAAAATAGTACAATCCCAAGACTGGCAAGCAACACAACAGGTTACACAAATATACAAAAAAGCTAGAGACCTCAAAGCTTCCCCAGTATGTACTGGAAGCAGGTCACACCCTGAAGGCAACTAATTAGATGCTCACAGCCCACTCCACCATGGAGTTGATTACACCATATCCACTCTCATCATGGAGAATAACTGCATGCAGCTACCAAGCTATGCAAAGTCACAACCTAGCCAAGTTGATACACAATCTTGCCTACCACAGTCCAGCTGTGAGGATTTTTGTTTTCTTTATGTTGAGGTGTAATCCATACTGAAGGCTGTAGTCTATGATCTTCATCAGTAAGTGCTTCAAGTCATCTTCACTTTCAGCAAGCAAGGTTGTGTCTTCTCCATTTCACAGGTTGTTAATGAGTCTTCCTCCACTCCTAATGCAGTGTTTGTTTTCATATAGTCCAGCTTCTTGGATTATTTTCTCAGCATACAGACTGGGTAAGTATGGTGAAAGGATACAACCCTGATGCACACCTTTCCTGATTTTAAACTGTGCGGTATTCCCTTGTTCTGTTTGAATGACTGCCTCTTGGTCTATATACAAGTTCCTCATGAGGATAATTAAGTGCTCTGTAATTCCCTTTCTGCACAATGTTATCCATAATTTGTTATGATCCACACAGTCGACTGCCTCTTAGCATAGTCAATAAAACTCAGTTAAACATCTTTCTGGTATTCTCTGTTTTAAGTCAAGCCATCTGACGTCAGCAATGATATCCCACGTTCACATCCTCTTCTGAATCTAGCTTGAATTTCTGGCAGTTCTCTGTCAATATACTGCTGCAACTGCTTTTGGATTATTTTTGGCAAAATTTTACTTGTATGTGATTATTAATGGTATTGTTCGATAATTTTCATATTCTATTGGATCACCTTTCTTTGGAATGGGCACAAATATGGATCTCTTCCAGTCAATTGGCCAGGTAGCTGTCTTCCAAATTTCTTGGCATAAACAAGTGATTGTCCTCGGTGTTACATCTGTTTCTTGAAACATCTCAATGGGTATTCCGTCAATTCATAGACTTGCTTTTCACCAATGCTTTAGTGCAGCTTAAACGTTTTCATTCAATATCATCAGCTCTTGATCACATGTTACTTCCTGAAATGGGTGGTCCTCCAGCTCAAAGAATCCCTCTGGTTGACTTCCAAATGTTCCAAACTCTCATCCTCATGTCTTTCAGAATGAGTTAAGATCCAAGTTTGGGACCCAGTTTGGTTGGAGAAGAAGCAGGGGAATGACATAAGATGTCTGCCTGGCTACTGGCCCTATGGCCTCTAACTCTAGAGCAGGCTTTGAATCAACTTGATCTTGCACTTCTGGGCAGTAGGCAAAAGTCTTCAGTCAAAAGCAAGAGATGGACAGATTTGCTCAAAAGATAACTGGCTCCCAAATTCAGCAATTGTGGTGTGCTCAATGAACCACCAAACCAAGCAGTGAAAATCCCTAAACCAGTGAGGAAAAAGACAGCCTACTCTGCTCCTACACCCATCCATTTCTGGGACTCTGGAGTTGTTTGCCCAAAGGTAGAGAGTACCATTCTTCTCCATGTCTAGAAAATTCTGTCTCCATCAGAGTAGCCCATCAGCCTGACGTATTTTGTGCTCAGCAGTGAACCTTCCAGACCATTGTCCCTTTCCCCTGATGGTGAGAGTCCTAGATCCCCTGACCTGGGAGCCTACAAGGCTCATACTTATAACCTTGGAAACAATGTTAACAACTCTGGTTTGTTCTGCTTTGTCCCCTGAACTCCCAATCTTAACCCCACCCCAACCCCAACTCACTTGGGTTTTAATAGTGAGCTAGGGTCTACAACCAATGCTACCTCGCTCCTCTTTTCTCTCTTTCCTCTAAAAGCTCCACTATCAATCTATGAAGCTGTGCTAAGCTTATACTTTCCACAAAATTGCCTGGTTGCCCCTGTCTTGTCTGCTGCTTGACCTGCATGAGAGATTCATAAATTTCACACAAGCTCTGTGAAAAGTATAGGCTCATTTCTATCCTGATCTTTTAATTTTTTCCCTTGTAAGCTAAACCCTAAAGAACCCTGGTGACACAGTGGTTAAGTGCAAAGTTGATCACAAAAAAATTGGCAGTTCAAACTCACCAGCTACTCTTTGAGAGAAATATGTCAAGATTATTGCCTTAGAAACCCTATTGGACAATTCTACTTCTAATCTGGACTACTGGTTCACTATGAGCTGGAATCAACTAGCCACCATTTCTTTTCTTTTCTTTTTTTTTAGGTTTTAAACCAAACCTCATACATTTGTCTCTATCTCAGGAACATTTTGCCTCCCAGCCCTCCCAGCCATAGGACCCAGAGAAAGCAGACTTCCCTCCCAAAACAGGTAACATGCACAACATATACTACTGGTGACACCACCAAAAATCAAAGCCAAACTCACTGCCTTCAAGTCAATTCAGACTCATAGAGACCCCTTCTTGGGTTTCCGAGGCCATATCTCCACAGAAGTAGATTGCCCAATCTTTCTTCCGAGGGCCTTCTGGTTAGCAGTCAAATGCCTTAGGCACTACACCACAGAACTCTACATATCACAGAGCATGGCTGAATTCAACTCCTATTCTGCCACACTGTAGCTTTTTCCCAGTTCCAGAGACCTCTCTGATGTGGACTTAGCCTTTCTTATGGACTCAGTTGTGCCCTCCAAAAATATGTGTTGCAAATCCTAACCTCTATGGCTGTTGTTATAATCCCATTTGTGAATGGGTTGTCTTTGTTATATTAATGAAGCAAGATTTATGTAGCATGTGTTTTGAAGAGAGACACTATGAAGATTGCCTAAGAGCAGAAACTCAGAAGAGGCAAGGTCCTACCCTGAGTCGACATAAACAGAAAACTTCCCCTAGGGTTGGCATCCTGAATTTGGACTTCTAGTCTCCTCAAGTGTGAGAAAAAAAAATTTTTTTTTTACTTATTAAAGCCATCCACTTGTGGTATTTCTCTTATGGCAACCCTAGATAACTAAGACAGCCTCCAAATGTCAAAACTACCTGTCTCTGGAGCTCCCTCACAACAGTCCCAATCACCTGCAGAACCTTCAACCCATTAATTCAATTAGCATAGCTTTAGGGCTGTGAAAATATGAGGACTCACCAAAGGGAATTTGGGTTTGGGGTGCCTCCAAACATTAAATTCATAGAGAGGGAAGGCATGTCTGACAAGAATAGAAATGGACAATGCGCCACATTAATAGAAACAGACAATGTACAAACCTCGTGAGTCTGGGGGTATATGTTCTGTGTCCTCCAAATGACTATTAGACAAATATTGCCTGATAAAGATGATAGCAAGCTTCTACCAGCTTTTTCAATGCCTCTGAGATACCAGAGCTATGGCACAGGTAGCTTGGAAAATTTAGGTACAGTGCAAGAAAGTATCTTCAGGCAGAGATGCATTTGGAATCACAGGATCTGAATAGTTACTTGAGAAAGCTGAGGGGCTCAAGAAAAGTACTGCTGAGGATGAGATTTCTTAGGAGTTCAGGAATGGGGTAGGATGTTCTGGACTTTTCCAAAATAAAAACTGAGGTGTTTCTGAGAGCCTCTAGGATCAAAAAACAACTTTAGTGAATTCAATATATACTACAGCAAGGACTAAAGCCAAAGTATTCTGAGATTCTAGGGACATACCAAATTTCTTTCTGTCCTTCCCTGATCTATACTCACCAAAACTTAAACCAGCAACTCCAGGTCCCAATGAACCTAGTCTATCTTAGAGTACACACCAACCATATCCTTGCATAGCCACCCCCACCAGCTGCACTGAGGTCTTGACCGGAAAGTCCCCACCAGCCCTCCCCCTGAGTCTCCTGTGATCACCTACTTTGAAGTCTGTTCCCCAGCAGTAAACCTTTTCCTGGTAAAATAGTGGTTTTTCCAAGATTTATTACAGGCCTGCTCACACCATACAAATGGTAAGGCCTAGTTTTAGCCCAGACACCACTGCCTCCCATCAAGTTTCACCCAGACTTTGCCTGGGATGCAGAACGCCAATAGCTTTCTTTCAGTCACAGGGGGATATTCAGTGGGTGTCCTCTGAGGTATCCTAGGCAACAGCCAGAGGTTATATCCTACCTGTTTCCAAAGACCCCAGAACTGCATCAAAGCAGGGGAAAAGGTAGCTTAGGGATGACAGTAATAGGATCCCCTCCCCTAAAGTTATTACATACAATCCAGGGCCCCAGTCAGGTGCCAATGAATCCTGAGCAGTCCTGAAACTTTCACCTTGCTAGTCACTAAGAACTAACTGAGCTTTCTTCACGTGCCACCACCCTCTGCACTGATCCAAATGGACCACAAGGTCAGAAGCACCAAGAGTCCCTAATCCCTTTCTGCAAGTACAGCCCAGAGAAGCTGCAAACTAAAACACTGAAAGTGATGGAAGGGGCTCTGGAAAAGCAGAGAATCCACAAAAGAACACCCAGAACTCAAGGTTTCTAAGTTCACTTAATAATCTACCCCCCTCTGATGGCAGCATAAGTAGGTGTTGCGGTATTGAGACAAGGGAACACTTCAGTCTTAGGGCAACACTGAGAAAAGCTACATATCCTGTACAGCAAAACTGAAGTGGGTGGCTGGAGCTGTCATGAAGAGCTACAAGGGGGAAGGAGGAGGAGAGGGCATCCCAAGCTTTGTGCTTCATCCTGAGATCCCTCAACTGAACTGTTGGGGTTCTTCACAGGTAGTTTGCTGGGGTCCTGTGGGTGGGATGGCTTGTCTGACTTCTCCAAGTCCACAGATGAGAGGAGAGTGCTTGCCTGGGATTCTGCAACTTCAGACCTGGAGAGCTAGGGCTATCCTACTCTGCTTGCCTTAGGGAACGAGATCAAATCAGCCTCAAGCGAAAGCTAGAGCACGGTATTCTAGTTTAAGGCCAAATGAGGCTGAGGTCTGGGGCCAAGCAGAGTTTGAGCCAGAGCACAGCCCGGCCGCCGCCTCACGTCTTACTAGCAGGAGACGGTGGAGATTGTCGCCCTGGTTGCCCTGGGGTTTGGCTCAGAGGCCTGGGGGATCCTCTTGCTCCCCTAGGGCAGCAAAGGACTGCCAGGCCAGCTGGGCTGTAACTACCTCAGGCAAAGAGACTGACGCACACCCCCACTCACTCCTTCCCTCCCTTTTCTTGTCCTGCAGAAACACAAGGCTGCCATGTGTTTAACTCTTCACTCAGTCACCAGAATTCCTGAGTGTTTTAAACACAAAACACCTCCGCTCCTCCGCAGGAATTGGGGCTGCTGAGAACTGCTGTACCTATGTCTCCAGAAGCCCACCCCGCTTCCCAACTCTCTCTTCTTTTCATAACCCTCCTTCCGCCGCAAATAAATACATAAACTGTAAATGTTTTCCCCACCCCCACCCCCAGCCCACACGGGCAACAAACAAACACAAAAGATGCGTCTGGATTTGTCTCTGGGCAAAAAAGTTCATTCCTTGCCTGTGACCAATGACTGTCCCATTTGCCACCTCCGGGGCGTGTTGAGCTACACAGGCCAGGTCTACCCAGAACCTGCAATTCGCGCCCTAGCAAGGCCTGGGCCAAGGAGGGGTCAGAGAGGCACTTTGTAAGGGTGCCTGGGACCAAGAGACAACCCAGGGAACACCATTGCCCAGAATGCCAGGTGGGGGCGCACCGGGCCACTCACCTGCTTGGAACTCCACTTGGTGATTTTTTTCTTTTTCTTCCTGCAGCAGCATGGAGTAGAGGATCCCGAAGGAGTTTTGGATGCCAAAGATGGAGCCATTGCACCAGGTAGCAGCGAAGACCACCATCCAGCCGAAGCCACCCTCCGGGGGCTGGAAGCCGCGCGAGGTGCCGCGAGTCTCCACGGTGAGCGTGGGCTTACGTTGCACAGGCTCGGGCTCAAACTCCAGATCCCGCAAGGGAGCAGGGTCCGGTAGAGGCTGGGGCTCTGGTTGGGGCTCAGGCGGGGGCACCGGCATGGGCTCCGGCTCGGGCTCGGGCTCTGGCTCCGGTTCTGGGCGACCCACTGTCTCTTGCTGTTCTTGCTCTGTCTCCTGCCAGGGCCCCTTGGCTTCGTCGATCTCCGGGTTTTGCAGCGCCATCGCGGCGGGGGGGGGACTGAGGCTGCTGGGGCCAGAGGAGCCGCTGTGTGGCTGGTACTTGTTTCTTTTGCTGCAGCTACTGCTGCTGCTCCGAGCGCCGCTGCTGCTGCCGCTGCTGCTGCCGCTGCTGCTGCCGCCTACTCCTCCCTACTCTGCGCCCCAGCTGGCCAGCTTGTCCCGCGACAGACGGTCCCTCGAGCCTTCTCCTCCTCCTCCCACGTCCAACCCCCCTCCTCCTCGCCCCATGTCATCTCTCTCTCTCCTCCCCCTCCTCCTCCTTTTCCCCCTCCCCACCTCTTCCTCCCTCAACAGGCAGCCGCTACAGCTTCGCTGTTCTCACCAACCCTTCCTCCTCTTACTTGCCTACCTACTCTGACCATAGCTGCCTCCCTCAACTCTTGTTCAAACTACTGAATCCTGTTCTTTTTGTCCAGATACCCAGTAGTCTTAAAATGGAAAAAGAGAGCACAAACTATCTTGTTCTGTGTTCTCTTCCCTGAGGCTTCAGGACGGGCATTGATCAATCCTGGGTTCCCAGGGAAGATTCTCCCTGTTCTTTGCGCCCGCTTCCTCTTTCCTTACAAGCAGCCTGCAAATGGGGTGATCCCGGGACCCCCAGGACTAGAGCTGACTTGCAAGGGACCCCACCCTGCCCTCGAGACTCTCTCCTATGGGCTTAAAAGTGGAGGCCTGTAGAGGAGAGCCCGAGTCTGTATCAGGGTGGATACAATCTTCTCGCGTCCTGGGGCTTGGCCCCCCATGCTCCCGCGCACACTCGAGCCCCTTCTCTCCCCCTCCCCCGCCCTTCCCAGAAAATCCTGGGCGAGGCGGGGAGGGGAGAAGGCGGCCCCACAGTGAGTCCCGCCCCTTGGAGCAGTCAATCAGGGCTTTGTTTGCGCCAACCTGGAGCCGGGAGGAGCAGCAGAAGGCCGGCTTGGGACCAGCTGCAGGGCCAGGAAGGGAGGGAGGTGCTGTGGCACCGGAGGGGGACGGGCCGGGCCGGGGAGGGAGCCAGAGCTCATCGTAGGCTCCTCCTTCTCCCAGTCGTGGACTAAAGAACAAGGAGCCTTGGGTGGGGTTGAGCTGCCAGTTGGGCAAGGGCCGCCCCGCCCTCGACATCCCGGCTTTGCTGGTCCCTCAGGCCTATGCCGCTGCGGGTTTTTGCGGAGCCGCTAGCAGAAAGGTGTCTTCCCAGTACCCACAGCCCCCATGCCCCCAAGAACTGGACATCTCGGGCATCCAGATGTGGGAGTCTCACTGAATGTCCCAGGCTCAACCCCCAGCTTCGAAAGGATAGAGGAAAGTTTGCTCCAAGCGAGGCGGGTGAAAGAGGAGGAGGGGCCATATGCTCTGTAGGTTGCGGGGCTCCCAGTGGAGTTGGGTGACTGTGCCCAGGCTGAGACCTTGGACCCAGTTGGGCTATCCTGGGAAGTTCTGTCTCCCATAAGGGGCCGCACGTTTGCTGCACTAATCATGGTTGGTTAACAAGTACTGGATTTCCCAGGAACAGAGGATGGGCAAGCGTCAAGCCCATTCTCCCAGCATCTCATTTACTCTGTTAGGTAAAAAGACTGTGTGGCCGGTGGAAGTGGAACACAAGGCTGCCTGACTTCACCGGATGCCGACTCACAGTCGTTAAGCACCCAAGGGGGAGCTGAGCTGGGCTCCTGGTGAGGAGCTGGTGGTGCCATAAGTGGAATTAGACGAATTCTCAAATCAAGGGGTTTGTGTCAGTCAGCAGAGTGGACATTGCCTAAGTGAATAGAGCACATCTTTTATTGACCCGAGTTAAGTATTATTATCACCTACGTTTTGCAGGCACGAAAATTGAGGCTCAACAACGTTTAAGGTCATGAGGCAAATCAGGGACAAGCTGGAATTCAAAGTAGGTCTCCATTCACCAAAACCTCTTGCTACCTGTGCTCCACAACAGGAATCTAGGGCTCCCAGGGAGGGGAGTAGTAGAGGAGGGAAGGCAGGATCTAGCCTTCTGATGAGGTGGTGACCAAGATGGGCCTTGAATACTGAGTAGGATTTTAACAGGCCAGGGGCAAGAGCGTGCCCTGAGCTCAAACAAGAGACACAGAAGGACTCTACTCTAGAAAGAGGAAAGTGAAAGCTAATCAGGCCAGAAGGTTAATATGTATGCTTCCTTTCCCTGGAGACATTTGCATTTTAATAAGAATCCACAATACTTCAACAATGAAGAGTGACTAACCATGGACATTATAGGGACTGAGGCTTATGATTTGCTTTTTCAGTCAGGGATTTCACCATACACATGACCAAGTATTGTACCAGGGGAACACTGGCTTTGGTTTCCATTTGCAGAGAACTTGAAAAAAGGGTTATTTCCAAACCCCAAACTATTAATAGATCCTGGAGTCTTGATCCTAGGAGCTTTGGTTGCGTAGTGCCTAAGGCATTTGACTGGTAGCCAGAAGGCTAGTGGTTCAAACCGACCAGCCACTCCTCAGAAGAAAAATTGGGCAATCTATTTCTGTAGTGATACTGCTTGAGAAACCCAAGGAGGGGTCACTATGGATCTGACTTGACGGCAGTGAGGTTTTTCTTGTTTGTTTGTTTGGAGTCTTGATCTCCATTTCAAACTCTTACTATCTAAATTCTATTATCCTCAGTTTAAAGGGGTTTTTAGTTCACTAGAGGAGCTCTGGTAGCATAGTGCCTAAGGCACTTGACTGCTCACCAGAAGGCTGGCGGTTCAAACCCTCCAGCCACTCCTCGGAAGGAAGGTTGGGCAATCCTACTTCCGTAGTGATACTGCCTCGGAAACCCAAGGAGGGGTCGCTATGAGTCGGGGCCGGCTCGACGGCAAACAACAACAACAACAAGAGTGGAAGTGAGGGCCAATTATGACACTCACTGAGAATCTCCTGTGAACCTAGGCCTTTTATATACATCATCTCATATAATCTCATAACAACTCTATAAGATTAGGATGATTTGTCCCCATTTTATAAATGAAGAAAGAAGTTCCAAGAGATTAAGTTAGTTGTTTAAGTCTACAAAGTCAATAAGGTAAAACTGGTATTTTTGCTCCTTTGTGTGTGCTTCAAATATGTGCCCCACCCAGGAGGCAGGATTATTTATGTAACCTCCATCCTACCATTCTAACAACATATGCAGTACCTACCATTTCTCCCCTCTTTTGAAGTACTTTATAATTGCTTGAACACTGTTATCAGGAGACCTGGGCTCTAATCTTGGCTCTAACATTGTGTGTCTGTGTGATCCTATGCAATTTGTTTTCCCTTTCTGAGCCTCAGTTTCTTTATATGCAAAATAGGGTTGATACCTACCTCACAGGGTTACTAAATCCCATGGTGAGTCATATAGACTTTAATTAATTAATTAATTAATTTTAAGAGCTTGTTTTACGTTCAACGTTATGTGTACATTTTGTTTCATTCCCCATTTACCATGTCCAACCCTAACCCAGTCTCCTCCCCTCCCTACCCTGTTACCCTCCCCCTGTGCCCCTCATATTTATGTACTCCTGTTTGTCCTGCATTTCCTCAATGTGAATATTGGTCCTCTGGTGTCCTGTGGTCTATTGCTCTAAGGAATGTATTTTTAGATATACACGGGAGCTACTAAAGATTTTTTAGTAGGAGAGACCTGCATTTTAAAAAGAAAATTGTAATGACAAGATGGAGAATGGCTTGAAAAGAGAAGAGTTAAGGAAATCAGTTTGGGAGCTTTTGCAAAAATGATACATTTCTTGCTTGGGTGAGAAAAAAAAAGGATGGTAATAGTATTAATGGAGATTGGGAATTAGGAGTAAAAGCAGGTCTGAGATGTCTGTGGCTTCCTGTCTCCTCTTTGCAAACCATCCTGTAAATTACAACTTTAAAATCTGATTTTAATCATGACACTCTTCTGCTTTAAAAACCTTCAATGGTTATTCATTTGACTTGTAAGTTTAAATTCTTTAACCAGACATGAACAGTCCATTTGTGGTTTGGGATTGGCCTCATTCATTCATTTATTCAGCAAACATTTACTCAGAGCTTCAATATTCCAGGCTCTGTGCTAAATATCAAGGACACAAAAATAAAAGATCTGGTGCCAGTTTTTGAGGTGGTCATATTCAACCTGTCTAGCACCACTCTTTGACTAATGGACACCTATTGATCTTTCAGTCCTAACCATACATTGTCTTAACTATCCTCCCATTGAGATTCTACACCTTTCTTGAATCCCCAGGAAAGGCAGGAAAGAATGGCTTTAACAAAGACGATAGTAGGGCTTGTTTTTTTGTTTTGTTTTAATTTTTATTGTGATTTGGGTGAAAGTTGACAGAGCAAATTCATTTTCCATACAGCACTTCATAAGCATTTTTTTTCATGATATTTTCTGCAATTCCCCACAATGTAACAGCTCTCTTCCCATTTCCTCCCTGTAGTTGCCTCTTCCCTGTGTCCATCTTTCCTATGCATTCCTGCTCCCTGAGCTATCTCCCTATGCAAATATTGCCCTTCTGTTCTCCCATGATTGGTCATTCTAAGGAGTGTATCAACCTGATGTAAATGTTCACTGATACACTGCCATGCACATCACTAAACTAAAACAGTAACTCCTCTAAATTTCTATCTTAAAAATCAATAAAATTCCTCTAAAATGTCACCAAAACTGTTGCCTTGTGAGGACAAGGTATCATCACTATCAGATTAATAAAGAAATTATATTTTAACACCAAAAATGTAAAAAGGACACATTCTTTTACCGAAGAAAATGTTTCTCAAGAAAAGTCACTTGGCTATTGGTCTTACCACATCTGGAGCAAAGAAAAGTAAAGAAAATCAGAGACATATGAAGGACCCTGTGAACCTCAGCTTCCATGACCCTGAGACCAGAAGAACTAGATGGTTCCTGGCTACCAATAGCAACCACTCTGAAAATGATTACATAAGAAGGTTCTGCATAGAGTGGGAGAAAAATGTAGGAAAAACCTCAAAATAATAAATACCAGGCTTACTAGTCGGATGGAGGCAGATGGAATCCCTGAGACTATGACCCTTAGTCTGGTTCAATTTTCAGTCAAACCATAGACAAATCTACATGGTGAACAGTAACGTAAGGGAGGTACACATTCCTTAGAAAAATCAACCATTGGAGATTAAAAGGACAGCATTTTCCCAAGGATAAAGTTCAGAAGGCAGGAAGGGTTAGGAAAGGAGGAGGAATGGAAATGATAAACAGGGAGAAATTAGGATGAGTGATGT